GTTAGCAGAACAGGTATTGTGCAGCTAGCACTTTATGTAACATTTTGGGAGCAAGATAAACCCACAAGATAGAGCTGCAGCCTCTCTTGATTTAGCTTGTAAGCCAAGAGCTGAAACCCATGGGAAATTACAGAGGTTGCTTTGATCTAATCTAGTATGATTCCTTTGTGGCATATGAAAACTGTATCTGTGTAAGCAATCAAGAGGGGTTTTACAGCCTGAGGGGGGCTTGGGAGGGATCTTTGAGCAGTTTTCATCTTTTCAAATTAAGAAACTTGAAACTTCTTACAGATACATAGGGGAAGGATGAAAACAGCCTGGGAGTTTACTGCATTATTTGTTTGTTGAGCTTCTTGCTATTTTACTACTTTACAAGTAACAGCTCTCTGTCCAACCTCCAGGTTCTTACTCACTGCTGCCCATAGAAGTTCCTCAAAACCACAAGCGTTTCACCTGTGACCTGACCCAAGCTGACCGCCTTGCTCTTTATGATTACGTTGTGGAGGAGACAAAGAAACAGAGGTCCAGATCCCAGATTACGGAAAATGACAGTGATCTCTTCGTGGATTTAGCAGCAAAAATCACCCAAGGTTTGAAGAATGATCTGTTGTTGAATTTATGGCTCAGAACTTTCACTTTGTCCAATTACATGAGTTTTGTTGATAGCCAAACAGAATTGATTGTGGGGTTTTTTGTTTTTTTTTTTTTTTGTGGAGAGCATGCTGTTCTTAAAAGCTACAACAAAGATCTGGGATCACAAAATGCTAGTTTGTTGTCCTTTATGATGTTTACCTTCTTGGAAAATCTCAGTGCTCTGCCCTTTGCACATGTGTTATGGGTATCTCAGTGGATAGATCTTCTGTCTTTGCTGCAGCTGTCTCCAGGTTGCCTAATGTTGCCACTGTGCTGTGCAGCCTGGAACAGTTATTTGCCGTAAGACGTGGTGAGATTAAAGATTGCTTAACAGTGAAAGCTGAACAGGAGAGGTTGGGAGTCATCCAGGTGGAGCTCTTGAGCAAACATACTTTGGTGTTGTTCTGGAACCTCTCATCCCTGTTGAGTCATGCCAGTTTGTAACTTCCAAGTGCAGCAAAAGCATTTGTGTCACCCTGCAGGCCCTGCTGTGCCTAGGAGGTGTGACAGTGCTTGGCACCTATGCAGGTAATAACTTTATTACAGAATCTGGCTTTCTCATTCTGTGTCTTAGTGTAATACTGGCTTTGAAAACATGACTTGTATTTAGAAGGCATTTGATCAAATCACAAGCCTGTATATTGGTGTGGATCACTGTTTGGAGACCGAGATCACATAACAGCGTTTGCTTGGTGGCTTTTTACTTGTGTGTAAGCAGCCAGCAAGAAGGTTGGGGGAGGAAGCTTGAGATAAATTCACCATAGTTACTAAATACAGGAGGAACTTGAGAAAGAGCACAATTATTTTATGTTTCTGAATGTACGAGGCCTGCACACCTGCAGGTGCTAACATCCTGCTAATGACCATTTGTTTAACTCCCAATTTTTTGCTAGATGATAGTCAGAAAGGTCCAAAGTCCCATCTTGAAATTCTGGCTGAAATGCGAGATTACAAAAGGCGGCGGCAGTCATACAGGGCTAAGAATGTTCACATAACAAAGAAGTCCTACACTGAGGTGAGATGGGACAAAAAAGGCTTTCTTGCACAAAAGTGCTTATTATATATCAGCATAAACAAGTACATATGCTTTCAAAGACAAATAATGGGTCTTTCTCTGCTTCTTTATTGTTGCAAACTGTAGAGAAATTATTTTGGTTTGTTGCAGCAAGTTACAAATAATGAACATTTCTAACTGCTAAGGTTTGAATGTGAAAATGCCAGCAAGATATAACTTACTATAATAAAATGGTGCTATTTAAATTTATGCTGAAACATTTTTCTGCAAATAAGACTTCCCATTCAAACATCTGATGTACAGGGTTTGGGGGAGATTTTTGTGAGGTTGGGGGTTTTTTTGAGATGTTTACAGTTTGTTTAGTGCTAGTTCAGGCACTACCATGAGATGTTTGTTTTTAATATATCTTAATCTCCAGGTGATTCGGGATGTGATTGGTGTGCATATGGAAGAACTCAGCAATCAGTGGCAGGAGGAGAACAGGTTGGATAATTCAGAGATATGTGAAGGAGGGAAGTCAAAGTCTTCAGGAAGGTATGCCACAGCTGACAGCTTCTTCAGGCATGAAGCAGGTTGTAATTTTATCTTACCACGTTCTTCTAATAGCACATATCAACATTATCTGAGTCATATGCACGGTTTATTTTATACTAATTCTATTAAGTCTTGCTTGAGAAACTCTGCCTGCATGGAGGATGGAGAAAAATTAAAAAGTATCTTTCTTTCAGAGGTAAGTAGGTTAGTTGCAAGTGATTCAGCTGAACAGCTAGTTTCTGGTGGAGCTGGGGGATGAATAGTGCTCCCTCTGTGCCCAAATGTGTATATATGTTGTAGCTGGGTACAGAAGGACATTTGGAAATACAAGTACACAATTTTTTACCCTTCCCTACCACATGACATGTGCTAGATATATTACACCTCAGAGTAAAGGTTTCCATAACATAGTAAATATGGGGAGGCTTTACAGTTCTTATCCCTGCAAATGCTGCTGTGCTAATTGGGAGGGTGTTGTAGCTATACATATTTCTGCTGTGTCAAGCAACACTGCACACCCTTCCACATGTTTGTCACTGAAGTAAACATGGAGTCATGACCTAGTGATTGCCTATTTGTGCCTCTTCAGCAGGTCTTTTGAGAGGAGAATGTTTTGGAAACACACTAGAAAGTGACAGCATTAAAATGAAGATGAATGGGTGGCAGAGCACTGGAACAGTCTGCCCAGGGAGATCCTGGAGTCTCCCTGTCTTAGGGAGAGAATTAGAGTAATTCTCTCTAATTCTTGAATTAGAGAAATTCAAAACCCACCCAAACAGGTCCCTGTGTAACCTGCTGTAGGTGACCCTGCCTTGGCAAGGGGAGTGGATTAGAAGATCTCCAGAGGTCCCTTCCAACCCTAACAATTCTGTGATTCTGTCAGATCACGACTTAGGTTCTCCAGCTGTAGGTTGCAGCTTAAGGCAGGTGCTTGAAGAGTTAAAAGATTTGAAGCAAAACAAAGTGAACCCCTTCTACTGCCTCCTGTTTGACAAGCAGAGGTGTTAAGGAGCAGTGCTCATAGGAAATAACTGGATTAGAGTGCTGAGATGTGCACATGGACTTTGGGCCTCTTTTGGGAGGTATTGCATTTCTTAGAGAGATAGGCTTAATAAAAGATATGTCTTCTGTCTTACATCAGTAGTATGTCACTATATTACAGAACTGGTACTGAAAGCAGTGGCTGTGAAACTGTTTTTATTGATGGAAGTCACTTGAGTTTGTTTTCAGAAGGGAGGACAGGCGGTCAGCTTCGGCGGACTCGCGGCAGTCTGGGGGAAGCAGCAAGGACACGGAGTGCACGAGACACAGGAGAGACACCAGCAGGAGTCCCAGTAAACGGCGGAGGAGTCGGGAGAGAGGCAGAGACTCTCGGAGAAAAAGAGAGAGGTGAGCAGAAACAGTGACAGCTGACTCCTGCTTCCCAGTCAGGCAGCTGTAGCCATTTTCTATGAGAACTTAGTGCAGAGGTTGAGAATGTCTCATCCCGTTAAAAAGCTAAGCCAGCCTCATGTGCAGTATGACAAGTCAGTGGTATGAAGCTACTAATACTAAACAGAACATACTGTGAGATCACAAACTGTGATCCAGACTTCAGAATTTACTGGCACATTTGAAAGGTGGCACTTTCTGCAGTGTGCTTGCAGGGCTGCAACAGTACTGTAACAGGCTGTTGATTTTACTCCTTGATCAGTGTGGTCAAAGGGACAGCACGTTTCTCATCCACAACTAAGTGCCTGTCATGTCTAACAATGATTTCTGCTCTAGTTTGCTCTAGATCTTAATAAATAGTATTATTAACCTTTCTACATTAGATGCTTCAAAACAATGCTGTTGCTCTTCAGTACATCTGGATATACAGTTTAGCAAAAGAAAATAAATCTAGGCCACAGCTTGTAATACCATCAACAGAGTTGATATTTACATCTGCAGGAGCACAGGTGTGTGGGACCTGTGTTTGAGCAGACATGATAGGGACTGTTGTGCAGAAGAAATCCTGCCTTGCCCCTTGTGTTTGGGTAAATGCATTACATAACTGCAGGGATGGCAATGATGGCTTGTCTCAAAGCTGGCTTCATTACACCGTGATGCCATTCATCCTAAACTAATTGCCACTCTGGCACTGCATGACAAGGCTTGATTAAAGCAGCATGGAAAATAAACTGCCTAAGAGCAGTTTACTTTCTCTCCTTAGAAGACTACATTTAATGAGAGCTTTCCATTTTCCAAGTTGTTTTTTCTCTTCAGACTTTCATGCTGAGCCTAACAGCCCACTCAATGTTTATGTTTTTGTTTCAGGGATGAAGACAAGTATTACAATCATAAAAGAAGAAAGTAGGAACAAGAACCTGATGATTTTGTTTGCCAGCTGTTCAAAACATAACTTCTACAAGAACTATTGTTACTGCTGTTTTTTCCAAGACAGTAAAGGTATGCACATAATATTGGTATTGCATCACACCTGTGCTGCTTGGAGACAAAAAAGTGCTACAGTTTGGCAGGATAGAAGCAGTATATTTCAGATAATGTGTAAATCTGTAACATTTATACATCTGTTAATAAATTATATTGATCTCTCATGTATTTGAGTTATTCTGACAAGGCTGAAGAATAAAATTTATGAGAGGCTGTACTTACTGGCCTTCCTGGCCTGTAAGTAGTGGATATAGAACAGAGCTGATCCCTGGAGTCCAGATCAGTTACAAACAGGGAAGGCATGAAGAGAGCTCCCTCTCCTACCTGACACTGTTACCTCTAGGTGACATTGCCTACTTACAGCATGTATCAGAGGGCAGATTTCAGAGTTCCCCAAGATAAAACATCTTCAACTGCAGCTGGTGTTAAATGGACAATAACACAAAAGTTAGTGTTCCCAAGCTCATGCGCAAAGAAAATTCAGAACAATATAATCTGGCAAAGGTGATGAGAATGTAGCTCTCCACAGAAGCTTGGGGGAGGCACCAAGGACACTTGGAGTATTGCTGACTACCATATTCAAACAGCAGGTACATTTCCTTTTAGCAATAACTAGGAAGACTTCCCATCCTGTTGACTAACATACATGTGTTTGTGATAGAGGTTGCTAAAGCAGACTTAAAACATGCAGGTAGATATTAAGGATGTACTGTTCTGTTAATTCCTCACACAGTTACTTCAGCAAGGTCAGTCACCATCAGCCAAGCTTCTTGCCTCAACAAAGTAAACAACTATAAGAGAACAAGATCCATCTTTCCTAAAATACTTCTGTTTGTTCAATGTGCCAAGAAAGGGCACTTCATGTTGCTCCTGGTTGTGGCCTTCTCAGTCAAAGGGAATCTTTCCAGTTTTACTGTAGCCTCTAGTATCCTCTTTCATATCTCAGTTGTTTCTGCAATGACGTGTGACTATCTGTCAGTAAATATTTGGTCTAGTTTTGATGGATTTAGACTTCTATACCTACTACAGCAGTTTAACCAAACAACTCTGTGTAAGGTATTCCTCACCTGTGTGATAAATGCAGTAGCTTTACCTGTCAGAAAACAAAATATATTTTAAAACATCTTTATTTAGACAAGTTTATCCAAAAATGAAAAAAGGTATTTAAGTTCTAAAAGGCTTCTAATTAGAGGGAAAACAATATGGAACCACTGCAGTCCTTGCATTGGTTTTGTCTACCAGCTCAGCCACAGGGTTCTCATTAAGTTCTTTCAGTAGGGCCTGGTAAAACAGTTTAAATAGAGCATGTCCTGGCAGACAAGGTAGTCTGAGGACCAGCTGTATTTGTGCCAGAGTCAAAATGAAGTGAGAGCTACCAGAAGCATAATGAGAAGTGCTCCAGTTACATCTGCCCTGGCTTAACTCAATTCCATGTTTTACTTAATCGGTTATCAAATGTAGGTAGGAAGCTCGGTAACAAAACAACTTTTGCTCAATATCAGCAGATGAGTGAAGGGGTTGCTCCCTAGGGGTGGCCATCAGTATCTGAGAGGCTGGAAAACAATATAACCATGTATTATTCAATGAACATCCCCTGAAGGGCCATCTCAAAAGCAGGACAAAGAAAAGGAAACGCCAGAGAAGAGGATCATGTTGTTCTGAAATGTGCAAATTATGGTGCTTCGAACACAAATTACTTTCTTGAACTTATTTATTCCTTCTTTTATTTTTCTTCTCACCTCATGCTGAAGAGTAGGGTTGGTAAGGTTGATCAATAAAATATGAAGGAGTATGGCAGGAAGTGTCTGATCAGCACCATGCCAGAGTGTTTTTCCCTGAAAAGGAATAAACCAAAAATTTTAAATGGCACTTTCACATGGTAAATCTAGTGTGTTGGTAAAGATACAATTTAGGGCTATATGAAATGCAATAAAAAGGGGATTTATGATCTGTTAAATCAAAGAAACAGCCCAGAAAATGCTGCTGGTTCCAGAAGCGGGACTATGCAGATGTTACAAGCCTGTATATAATAGCTTCCTACAGGGAAAATTATACCACCCTGCAGAGACTTCAGTATTTCAGAGAAAGATGGATAAATAACAATTTATCTTTTAAGAGTGTAAACGCTGAAGTTGACAAAAAATAACTGTATATTTTTGATACAATCTTAGTCAATCCTTACTCCTGTCATCATGGCTATGCCCAAAAGAAAATGGACTATTCACCTGAAATAAAAGGCTTTTGGAGAACCCAGAGGCAATTGATACATTAAAATTCCTTGCACAGATTTTTACTTACGCTTTTTCTTTAATTTCCTCGAGGAATGCATTAGTTTCTGTCTCTGATATCTCTCCATCAATACTGGCCAAATACAAATAAAGGAACGAGAATGTTTCGAAGGGAATTCGAGCTGCTCCACCTTCTGGGTCTCTTGTTAGGATCTCACAGGCCTGCTTCATTGAACTCAGTAAGGACTGCAGGGTTCCAGCAAGAAACGAAAGGAAAAGTATCAGAGCCATGAACATCCTTGCATATCATGGCAAAATCCACACTGTAAGCCATTAAAAGGGAGGGTAAAGGCATTATCATCGTTGCCTAGCTTTGAACCCCAAATTTACTCTCTAGTGCAGGCCCAAGGATGGAAACAATAATGTATTTCTAGTAGAGGCAGGAGTAAGAAATACCAGAATCTTGTGATGGTTAAAGATTGCATAGGGTAATCTGAGCTCTCTCTCCATTAGGGCCAAATTGCTCTGTTCTGCTACTGTAAAAGCTCCAACATCACTGTATCTTTTTGTAAAAGATCTTTTTGTGTGTGTATATTACCTCAATGGCTCTAAATGAATTCTCAGCAGCAGTTACGACAGATAAGTTTACAACCCCCAGAAAATAAATACAGGTTTGGTAATTTTATTATGATATTATATTACATAATATTTTGGCTGATATTTACTGTTTCCCCCATCTCTATGCAAGTTCCGTTTTAATCGATAGTAGAAAAAGCACTGAGGCAAAGGCATTTAAAGAATATTTCAGTTTAGTCAAAGGTCAATGACATCCAAGTTACCTTTAAAAAACATGCCTCAAATCATTAGTTCCAAATATACTTTGAAAAAATACTTCCTTTAATATGGTGTTGACAATCCAGTGCCCTATGCATGCTGAGCTATATTGGGAAAAGTGTTGAAAATTTCAGCATTGAGTTTCATTCAAAGACTGATTGGATGCCATTAAAGAAACAAACAACTAAAATCACATGCAACATATATATTCAAAATATAAAAGCACAAAACCAAACCCACACAGGCTTTCTTCCACCTAAGTCTTAATATTTTTCACTGCAACTTTTTCAAAATTTACTCATACATTTTCATTAACAAGCAAGCAACGTCTATGTAAAAAGAAAGTATTTCCTAACAGTAGAATAGCAATACTTAAAATAAATAAATTATCTGTTAAAGATCTAGAACACAGGCCAGAGAAGTGTCATCTTACAATCCTTTACCAGTTTTACTTAATGTATCTTCTCCCCTGGAAGACTTTTCAGGGAAAAGAGAAGCAGCTGTGATGGCCAACTCTACATTTTGCATTTGGCTGCCCCTCTACTGCCTTTTCTGGTCCTGCCACCCCAAACTGCCACAGTCTCTCTCACAACACAGCAAAGTTATTCATATCCATTTTGCCAAATTTGAAAGACAATTTAACAGGCTACCTGTGTGGTCATTTCTCCTTTTGTAAAGGCTTTTGTAAAAATGTATTGATGCTTTACAAAAAGGATACTTCAGACTGGTGTTCTTAAGAAGTTTGTATTTATCTACTCTTGTATCTCAACCATGACCCTGTCTGACTGTGAACACAATTTACAGCTCCAGGAAATGAATGTACATTTCTCATGTATGTCTTTCTCTCTGGTTCAGGAAACTGGGATCTAGGTTTCATTATGTAGTACTGAAATCAAATCGTTCACTTACTATCCAAAAGGATGGTGAGATGGTGAAATTTAGTCTGTCTAGCTCCATCAGAATGATGTTCCTGTGACTCCATTTTTAGTTTTGCTTTATTTGGGGTTTTTTTGCAGGAGAGAGGGGTTGTAGTCTTTTAGATAAGTAATGTTGCTGTTACTATTTTTAAATGAAGAAAAGAGCCCGAATGACAAGATCATTTTGGGAGGAAGACTGGAATCAAGAAATACAAATTTGAAATAAAGACAGACAGATGGAAAGACAGATGGATAGATAGACAGACAGACAATTGCACAGTTGCATTGCCAGGCCAGGCTAACATTCAGGCCTTCCAGATATTGCAACATTCACAAAAAATTATTTCACATATATTTTCTTTTTAGTACCTCTTCTTCCCTACTGTAGAAATCATTAGAAGTATTATACTTTATAAGAACATCAGCTTAATGCATTTTATAATCTTTCATTCTGTTGAAATGCTCTGCTGAGATTTTATTACTGACATTAAAAGAACTAAGTGCAGCTGTAGTAATATTAGGTGCTGCTGAGAAAATTTAATTGGTTACACAATCAATTAAAAATTGTTTCTTTAATTTCTCCCTTCAGTTCTCCTTCATGGACATTTACACTGATGCCATTCAGCATCATTCCTCCATCATCCTCTCTCACACAGGACAAGCACCCTGCAGACACACTTGCTCTTCCACTGAGGACTTAGCCATCCTTCTGGTTAAGTTCCCCAGACCAAAATGTGATTCACAAGGGAAGTAAACACTCAAGCCACTTTACCAGCAAAATGGTAAAATGCAAAAGCAAACACCATTCCCCAAATCCATCTGCATTAAGTGTTCTATGGTCTATCTTGCATATGGCTCCTAGGCAACCCCTTGTGTTTGGATATGAGGGCTGCTGCTGTGAACGTACCCCACCAAGCACGCTGCACCCAAGTGCCAGAAACTTCATCCATTCCACCTCCTCGCCAAAACTGTCCAACTGCAGGATAGCTTCCAGCTGCTCCTCTGGCAAGCCCAAATGCTTCCATTTTTCCCTCAGTTCTGCAATGGCCACCATGCCTTTGGAAGAAAGCTTTGAACAAAATCATGGTACCACAATAAGAACTCCAAACACCAGAACAAATTTAAGAACACAGTGTCTCCCCAAAATACTTCAAATACTTGACAGTCTCTCTCCCCAGCCATCCCCAACACATCAGCATTCCTCAATAGCATTGTGCATTTGATAAAGAACGGCTTGTACCTGTTTGTGCAAGACCTTAAGGAGTCCTGGGGTCAAACCAGCATCTTTTTTCTCTGTTGCTAATGGCATTTCAAGCCTCTCCTTCACAGGAAGGGGTTCACCTTTAGATAAGGCTGAAAAATACCTAAGTGAATGGAAAGAGCAACACACCTCAATGCCCATGGCCATTACAAACAGCAAAGAAGTAAATTCTCTTACAGTTCAGTGTAAGAGTCTGCAGGCTCCCCCACAGGAGCAGCAGCATTGGGTAAGTTGCCTACATGCACAACTCCCATATTCCTGTGCCCAAAACCCACAATCTTTAGACTTTACTTGCCCCTTTTCATGACACTCTAATAATTCTTGAGGCATTTAACTTATTTTGTGCATGCTATATTCAGTTCTTTTGGTTGATGAACCTGAGGACTTATCTGTTTAACATTCCTCTTGTGGACTACCCAAAATGTACACCTTCCTATTCACACTGCAATTCTCTTCTCAGTATTTCTGCTATTTCTGTCCACTACAAAATAAAATTTAAGAGCAGAGCACAAAGGGCATTGGATGCACGTCCTTTTAATTATAAGGCTGTCAACCTTAAGAACTGCCTCTGCCTTAATTGGCCAACAAACTGAATTGTGCAAGGAAAACTCGGTTTTTATTCAGGTGCATCTAATTTACAAGTTTCTCCACCTGTCCTGCCTCATCTGCCCTGGTCATCCCTGTCCATGTGCAGGCTATCCCCTGCTGTGCAAATACCTGCTAAAATACAGCAGGCAGCACTCCAGAACTGAATTAGTGTGACTACAGAAAGAGATGCACAGTATGCATGCACAGGTAACACCCGGGCTATTTTTCAGCCAGATCCAGTTCCTCATCTGATGATTCCCAGGCACCAGCACTGCAGCAGCAGCAGCACGTGTGAAGCCACAGCTTTGCTCTGCGTTGCGTGGCTCCCAGGGACAGACCTTGCTCTGCCTGGTCGGGAGCATGCTCCAGAGAGAGGGGCTGCGATGGGCAGCAGCAGGCGGATCGCAGCAGCCGCGCTGCAGCAGAGCTCAAGCAGAGCTCGGGGCTGCCCCTGCTCCCGCAGCCCCAGTCCCAGCAGGCTCCAGTTACACAGGCAGCCGCACCTCACCTCCATCACATTCCTAAGAAACGCCACACCATTTCAAGGTGGTCCTGCTGGCTTTCTCCAACACTGCAGTGGTAACAATTCAGCTTCAGATTATTTTCTTTCTAACAGACAAACCGGACTCCAGCCTGGCTGTGTTAACAACCTCCCTTCCCTCACACGGTACAGACGTTTTCCAATCCCCCCAGCTGAGAACATCTCACAGATACCTTTCAAGAGCTTGCCCACACAAACCACAGGGCAGGAAAAAATTATAGTGAGCAGTTGAGGTACAAGAAACAAACTGTTAAAGGAGAAACATTTAAACATCTAAATCAACTTTATGGCAAGAGATTTATTATGCCGATTATCACTTTAAAGGTGCAATTTTTCAGGCACTTTTCCCAGAAAGAAGAAAGAAGAGAAACCTAACCAGGCTTAAGAATTAGAAAGCTAATGTCTATTCTTTCCTTTAAATTCCAAGAACTGAATCTCAGATGAGAGAAGAAAAACCAAACCAAAACAAACCAAAAGGAAAAAGAGTTGGTCTTTCAGATAGAAAAACTAATAAAAAAAATCAAATTAAGATGCATTTTTCTGTAAGGAAATCCAGCTATTTCAGAAGTAAGCCAGCCCTAAACCTCAAGGAAACAGAAAATAAACACAATAAATAAAATTTTTTAAAGGCTTACATGCTGCATTAGTACACAGAAGTGTATATGCAATGTATATGCTGATGCAATATTCAAAGCTGTGTCCACTATACAATAAAGAGGAGAGTGATGTTTTGAGGGTCCATATGTAGAGCTCTCTGTTGTTAGGTGAACACCATACTTACGCAGCTGCCCACTGCAAAACATCAAAAGGCTGAGTCCTGATAGCAGCTTTAGTAAATTGCTTCAGAATATCGGGTAGCTCCGGGGGGATTTTGATCTGCTGAGCACAGAACATGGTTTCTGGAAGAGGCATGGTGTCCAGTCACAAGGACCTGAAAGAAATAAAACAGATGTAGAAAGTGAATGAAAAGCTGTGCGTGCACATGGGAGTAAATAGTGCCTGTCCCCAGATTTTCTCCTGTCCTACTTGACAGCCAGGGCTTCTGGGGTGCTGACAGACTTCAAAGGGTAAACAGACAAAGCCCTGTGTGGCTCTAGGCTCTAAAAAACTTTATGGATACACCAAGTAAAGCGCATCAGCTTGGGCACCAATCACAGATGGGTGACAACTACTGCTTTAACAGGTGACTTCAGATAGTTTTAAACTGATTTTTCTCCTCAAACCTACCACAAAGAAAATTTGTAAAATGGGCAGTCCAGACAAGGCACACCACACATGCCAACATGAAAGGTATCTACATTGACAACTTGCCACTGCATGCCAAGGAAAATCTTGATATTTTTGTACAGATACCAGAATACGCAGATGAGCAAGTCTGTACTGTGTTTATGTATTCAAAAATGCTGTAGCAAAAAGTTACTAATTTGTGCTCATGACAGACTTTACTTCAAACAATTACAGTGACAAACAAAACATTGATGTGTGCTGCAAGCACATATCCCACTTTGCTCATACAGCTCTACAGGTGTGTCTGTCTCATTCAGGATTTAACTCATTTGTTGCAAGGAATCCTGTTCCCCAGGGTCCAAAAGAAGGGACAGAGATAGGCCATTGTATGGGTCTTCTCTCATAGCAATGGAGCACATTTGGTGGAAACTCTTCTCATAATTTCCAGGACAAACTATGGCATGCTTAAGTTGATTTAGCAACAAGAGCCTAAGATGGTTAGTTGTTTGCAGAAAGGAGGAGCAGTAAAAGCAACAGCATTAAGAAAGTAATCAGGAGTCATGTAAGAGAATCCTCTATCCCTTTGGACCTTTTAAAGATAAGAGTACCTGGCAGGTGGCTTTCTCGCATTAATTTTCCTGCAGCGGAAAAGAAAAAAATTAAAAGTCAGAGATAGAGCAATGGAACTGCTGTGGCTCAAGGCTCCTTTGAAGATCAAGCCATACTTAGAGCTTTGTTTATGGAGAAATGCAGGCAGGGTACAGCATCTTCATCACTCCAATGCAGGCAATTTGCATCAGGAACAGACTTCAAAGTGCACATTTAATTACCACATTGGTCACACACTTTCAGTAATGATTCAAAAACGCAGCTCTAGCCAAGGAACAGAAGCTGAAGGCAAAAAAGCTGAGGATTTCAGGACAACAGAAAAACTCTGAGGAAGGAATACAGCTGTGTGTGCATGTACCCTTGCGAAGTAGTTAAATAAAAGAATAAAAATAAAATCAGAAAAAAAATGCATTGCAAGAGCTGCTTTTCTACAGTAAGCCATTAATCACAGAAGGGCAGAGGTGGCCAGAGACTTCTTGGAGGTCAGCTGGTCTGAACTGCTCCACAATCTCTGAGCAGGGTGCCAAAGATCCATGTCCAGGTGTGTTCCGAGAATCTCCAAGGATGGAGACTCCACACTCCCCTGGGCAACCTGTGCCAGTGCTCGGTCACCCTCACAGGGAAAAAAGGTTTGTTGATGTCCAGAGGGAACCTCCTGCACATATGTACACACCTAATGGTCAAAGAAAAGCACAGCTAGGTCAGGCAGCTCTGCACCCCTTCACCACGGGTTACTCTCGCTAGAGACAAAGATGAGCTCACCACTTTCACTTCCCTCTAGTTAGCTCTAATTTTCTACTTTTTTCCTTCCGCGAACCCAAGCCAGCCCCAGGTGTTCAGGAAACAAGGCCAAGGCGTGTCCGCACACAGATGGGACCGGCCCAGCCCCGGGTGCCCGCGGCCCGTCCACCCCGAGCTGCGGGGAGGCACCGCCGGCGGGCAGCGGCCCCTCGCAGGCCGGAGGGAGCCCCAGGGCTGCCCACGGCCCCAGCGCGGCCCCTCGCAGGCCGGAGGGAGCCCCAGGGCTGCCCACGGCCCCAGCGCGGCCCCTCGCAGGCCGGAGGGAGCCCCAGAGCCGCCCACGGCCCCAGAGCCCCGGCCCGCCCCGCGGAGGCCGCCCCGGGGCTCGGGGAAGGCCCGGATACAGCCCCTCACCTGCCCCGCTCCGCGGCCCCGCTGCCCCGGCAACGCGCTGGGACCGGCCGGGGCGGGGCAAAACTTAATGGCGGCGAGCTTTAAAGGGCAACAGCAGCACCTGCTCTTTGTAGAAACTTTCGAAAAGGCCCAAACCATGGATGAGGAGACTGAATGTAAAGTTACGAACTTTACTTTCGTACAGTCACAGACGCAGCCTGCAGGGTGGGTCGCAGTAGGCTGGAGGGCACAGCGGCGGGACAGGAGCCAGCAGTGGGCCCAGGTGGCCAAAAAGGCCCGCGGCATCCTGCATGTAACAGCAGTAGTGTTGCCAGCAGGATGGGGGAAGTGATTCTTCCCCTGTACACGGCCCTGCTGAGGCTACAGCTCGAATCCTGTGTCCTCTCAGTTCAGGGAGGAACTGGAGGGTGCTGGAGCATGCTGCAGGGAAGGGTGACAAAGCTGGACAAGAGCCTGGAGCACAAGTCCTACGAGGAACAGCTGGGGGAGGTAGGGTTGTTTAGCCTGGAGAAGAAGAGTCTCAGGGGTAACCTTATTGCTCTCTACAGCTGCCTGAAAGGAGGCTGTAGGCAAGTGAGGGTCGGCATCTTCTCCCAAGCAACCAGTGACAAAGTAAGAGGGCACAATCTTTAAGCTGTGGCAGGGGACATTAAGACATTTAGGCTGGACATTAAGAAGAATTTCTTCACAGAAGGGGTGATTAGACAGTGGAAGGGTTGATCCAGGGAGGTGGTAGAATTACCATCCCAGGTGGTGTTTAAGAAAAGACTGCATGTAGCACTTTGTGCCATGGTCTAGGTGCTAGGGTGGTGTTCAGTCATAGGCTGGTCTTTATCTCAGACATCTTTTCCAACTTGATCGATTCTGTGAACATCTTAGCCCCATGTAATTGGCAGAGCCATAGCTGGGAAAGCTGGTTCCTGCAGGTGCCTGGGTTCCCTGTAGTCTGCTGGCCCCTTCATGTCCCCTGGCCACAAGGATGCTCTACTGGGTGAGCAGTGTTAGGGTGGCATGTTCATCTTGTCTTTGGCATTCTTGCACCTCCTTTCCTGGCTTGGATGAAATGTGAAGAAATGTTGAGTGAGCTGAAAAAGAGACAGGACAATGTATCCCCAAAAATTCCCTTGGAAGCTGCTGCTTCCAAGGACAGCTTAGCCACAATCAACCTCTGCTGGTCAGGCTCCACAGTGCTGGACATTCAGGATAGCAGCACCACTGAGAATCTGGCACCATGGAGAGAGCACAGCCAGTGGCAGCAGCTTCTCAGCACCTGCTGGTCCGAATTGACACCATGAGGCAGCGTGGGCTCTCCCACTGCTCCAGAATGTGAGGAACCAAAGTGCCCTCTCTGCCACAGTCTTCTTTCCACTGCAGATAAAAACAGCACCAGAGGTAACCTGACTTGCATCCTCTGTAAAGATGCCAGCACATCTCTTGGTGTCAAAGCAATACCCCTCCTGTACCTTCTAAAATGGACTGTACACAGCCTGAGCACTCAAATCAACTTGGTAATAGGATTACTCACTTCAGAAAGCCTTCTCAAGCCATTGCTCCAAAGAAACTTGGGTGCTGCATGCTCAAAACAGGCCAAGCAGAAGCACACAATCCTATTTGAAGCCAGGCCTTTTTAATCCACATTATGTCTCTGCTGATGAACATGCAAGGCGATGCAGGACAAAGATAAAATTGTGGGTTGTGGAAAGCAATAAGCACACATTTTAACTGTTTAATCTTTCATAAAACAGCAACACTTAGCATAAGCTACAGGCTAATTATTTGACCTCAAAATACTTTGCAGATTCCTGTAACTAAAGAAAACAGTAACTTCTGACATATAATGACATACATTTCTATCCTTTAGTTGTTTTAAAGCATCTACTCATTTAAGAATGCGATAGCAAGAAAAACATGAAGGAAACATTATCCTTCAGGAACTCAGAGAATAGAATTCAATTAAACCAATCTCACAGTGCAGTTTCTCAAAGGTGCCTAGTGATAACAGATTAACAACAAGATGCATATTATCTCTCATCTGTGGTCCTTGCACACACTCAAAACTATCCCTAAAATGCTCCAAAAGTAGATGTCATACTCTGAATTCTTCCAGCAATTTGGTCCAGTGCAGTGAAATCATGCATAAAGCTGCCACACTGTATTATGGGAAACAGCAGCATGTAGGTGGAAATTTTTTTCTGCACTTAATTAAATGTATTTTCATAGAATCATAGACTGGCCTGGCTTGGACCTCAGAAATCACCTAGTTCCAACCCTCCTGCCACAGGCACAAGCACTTACACTACACCAAACTACTCAGAGCTCCATCCAACCTGGCCTTTCACATTTCCAGTGGTGGCGCATCCACATATTTTCTGGGCAATCTGTTCCAGTGTCCCATCACCCTTCACAGTAGAGAATGTCTTCCTAACATCTAATTAAACCTACTCTCTCTCAGTTTGAAGCCACTCCCCCCTTGTCCTGTCACTACATGCTCTTGTAAATACTCTTTCTATGAATCTATTCTGCTTCCTAGAAGTATTTCCTCCCACTGTGTAATACAGAGTCTTGTATATAAAGAACATTTAGAAGTATATCCATGGATGTAATTGTTGCTTTGTAGCAGCACTGCCAGAAATGCTGCTATAAAGCAGCATACCTTAGAATTTCTGCTGCTTCCTACTTCCATGACTCCTGCTAACAACTAGTCAAAATATCCCATGGACTCTCCATTCTAATCCAGCAGTATTTTTTAGATGCATCACATTCCTTACCTAACTCTAGCAAGCCACTTAGGCAATTTGTATCTGCTGAATGTGGCACACCAGTGCAGCTCTGCACTATTTAGGGTTTAATACAGAAACTCTATCCAATATAAATAAAAGAGCTTTGCACTGTTCTCTGGTTTTGTACGCAACAAGGAATTCTAAGTAAAACTAGTGT